TTCCACAGCAGCAGCCGTATCTGGAGTAGATGCTGGCTGTATGGGGGCCAGAAAAATCTCTGATTTAAAAGCCAGTTACAGTCTGTACTTGAGGATTCGTCCTCTCCCTACACCGAAGTCACAGGGCAGGACCCAGCTGGAGGGGAAATGTCAAAGGAAGAAACGCTAACGGAGAATGCGCTGTGCCCGGAGCGTGGCAGCCTGGAGGACACCGGGGAGGATGATGCAGGTGTGTGTGAGAGCAGGGACTGCCCTTGAGGAGAAGACATTGTATGAAAAATCTGAGAGGCAGAAGGATGGGGTGGCTGTGCCTAACGCGGGATCCTTGTGCAATGGTGTTGGATGGTTCACAGGTCTTGGAAGAAATAACACATGGTATTTTTCTGTTGTTTCTGTTAAATTTTGCGTCTTTTTAAGAAAAATAAAACTGGGAGACCTGACAACACTGGAAAAGTCTGACAAATTAGCACATGCCATGACAAGCCACCTGTTTGGTCACTGTTAAATCAGGTAATTCAGGCTTAGACAGCAGCCGTGACATTACGGTACACAATCAAACCATTTCATTTAAGTGTATATGCTCCTCATCTTTCACCAAGGCAACATAGATTTTCTCATTTCCTGCCTATCCATCTTCTTCCTATCTCTCTGATATTCATAAGAAAAAAAAAAAACAAATCGAGAGGTAATTTTTAGCCCAGCAATATCCTGTGATTAAAATCCTTGTGGGTTACAATGGTGGTGCTGGAGAAACATTTCACCTGTGTAACCACAGCTGCTTCGGTACTGCTTGGAGCTATCTGTTTACACCAAATGCTCACACATAGCAGACTCTGACAGTTATAAAAAAAATAAAATAAAATACTGCAACGGCTTGTTAAATAAGGCTTGTTAAATTAGACTTGCGGGCTAGTGTGTGAGTTGTAGTATACTGAAACAGAACCGTAATTTTCTAAAAAAGCTTTATGCCCAGTAACATTAATCAAAGTTTTTTATACCTTCTTCAGATCATGCTTCGAACAGCTGGATCTCCAAATTGCATAAGATAATAATTTGCTTAAACCCCTGCAGTTCAAGATAATTTAAGAGGCTTAAAAACTTTAATTAATTCTGTCAAATCATACAAAGCGTAATGGAGTCAATTACTTATACCATTAAGGGGTAAAATTAGTCTTAATTTAAAATGGATATTTTCCTTCTAGGAAGCTCCGTTCAGCAAAGAGATTTGTAAATCTTATTTCCGTTGCCTGAGTAATACGAAACACGAGTGAGGGAAGTAGATAAGCAATCTTTCTTTTTCTTCGTGAGGTTTGAAATATCTAAGCGTGTGCATAATTTTTGCGATGTTACAGGCGAGCAGTCATCACCATGTTCCACAGCACAGCAGCACATTAAGGACTGCCACCTATGGCCACCTTAGGTCGGAGCTGCATTAATTACAACTAAGGTTTGTGCTTTCTCCACAGTGTAGGGGCACCTACGCTAACGTGGATCAGAGATACCAGTCAGATGCTAGCTGAACATCATTTTCATGAAGGATTCGTCTTTTTCTTTCAAGTGCCATATATTGGTACTAAAAAATACCCTAATGAAATGACACAATACAGAACACTTGTTAAGATTATCAAATATATGTTGTGTTTGTAATGGTAACTCTTCTTACAAACTATTAAAACAGTAAACATCAGTCAGATCAATACAGAGGATGAAGACGACCTGTTGTGACACATGATGGCCAGGCACCCCCCATCCAAGACAATTCACATCAACCTCCTGCACACAGTTTGACACTCTTTTTTTTTTTCCCCCCTTGTTCATCTCAAAGAGAAAGTACTTGCCCCAATTTTACTCCCTAGTCTAACCTGACACATGGGACAAAACCCCAGCTTGCCTGTGGACAGTGGTTTCCCAAGACTGTGTTACAGGTTATGAGGTGGTCCAAGTTGGGACTCTCCCATTGCTTTCTGTTGAATGGGATAACTAAGTAATCACTGAAAGGGTGTCAAATCTATCAGATTCAAGGGAAAATTCTCCTCATGTCCTTGGTGGCTACATTTTAAGTAAAGTCCATCCCTCTTCCACACATTGCCAGAAGCAGCCCTGTCAGGAATATATGTTTGGCATGGGCATGCTCTGCACCAAACATAGTGCACCTGGCTGTGGATTTCTGTGGCTGCCTGCTCCTGGCAATTCAAACTAGGGACTGAGGAAAGACTCCTCTGGGAAAAACCCCAAACCAAACTGGTTTGCCCCGCTGGGCTGGCTCTGCAGCTCACAGGGCGTCTTGCAGCTGCCCCAGCCCACACTCACTGCCAGATGTGCTGCTGGGGCTCCCAAAGGCTGGGAGCCGTGGCTGCCTGCATCTATTTGTCCTTGCAATGTGTTGCCCCTTATTGGGGTCTCTATTACAATAACATCAATCCACTACCTATTTTTCTTACAGACCAATGTTTGCAATTATGCAGGTACAACACTGACAATATAAAAACAGTAAAAAAGAGTTACTACCCTGAAGCACATAAGTCCATCTTTAACAGGATCAGACCTGAGACAGTCATTAGACAAAATATAGGAATGCCAATAATATACTGTACGTTACCAAGTTGCCATTTTTTGGAACACATGGTCTCCATCATCCAGATGGGTAATGCTGGTTCAAGCATAGCAATCGCCATGTTTGCGAAGCAGATTGATCCTTAGAGAAAGAGGAGAAAAAAAAAGTAGCAATTATTTCTTTTGACTACAAACAAAAAGCCATTCAAAGAATGCATGCTTTTACAAGAAACATTGCATTTTTACAGTCTTATTTGTCATGCATCAAATGTTGATTAATGTTAAATAGAACAGAATGTAAAATCACTGAAGACTAACTTTCTATATATTTCTATTCTCCTAGAAATTCTACCATAAAGGTTAAGCTACTTTCATAATGTGAAAGTCTGCAGTGAGCTTGATGACATTTAGAAAGTTCATGAGGTCTGACTCTTGTACAAATGATTAGCTAAAACTACAATCTTTTGGTCTTTATCTAGTCTCCTGGGGCAAAACCAGAGCCCTGTTGTGTAAGAGGCACAGGCTCTGACCCCATGCCTCGGTCATCTGAGAATGACTACGCTGAGATGTGGAGGTCTCGATCCTAAAAATACCACAAGACAACCATGGAGATGTCTATCTTCTGCAAAAGGGAATTTTGTGTAAAGATTCTATAGCTAGCAGCCAGTAAGTCCATGCAGCAAAGCATGGGCCTGGCTGAGCTTGCTCAGCCCTATGAATTTCAAACGCTTCCAAATTTCTCTTGAAATTCTGGACCTTTAATCATCCTTGTGTCTGGGTGACAAGCAGTGGAAGTGCTGACTCAGTCCTGCCTACCAGTGCAGCTCTGCCCCATGCCACCACCTGCAGATCGAGACTCCAGTGGGTTTGTGTCAAGTTCATCTACCCTCAGTAGCCCACTCCAGCTTTAGTGAGGAGATTATTAACCTCCATGGTATTTCTTTGGATCCAAGATGCCCTTCCCACTTACCGAAAAGACTTTGAGGCACTCAAAGTCTAACGCAGGGCAATGAGACACGTTCCTTCTGCTAATCCCTTACAAAATGACTTTCAAGGGAGTTTGGAAGATCTCAAACTTGTGTTCCCGCTTTTCTTCCTAATATTTATAACCCCTGAAATTTAGGAAGATATTCTAGACTCTTACAGTCGTTTACCATCCAAATTTTACTTTTTTAAAGACACACTTTAATTTTTCTGAGTTCAGAGAAACATTATTTTTCCTGGAACAAGTTCCTCATCATAACAGTTCAAAACAAAACGAGCACCGATGTTATTCTTTGCTCAGACCTGTCAGAATATATTAGACTGTGTATCCACAGTTCCTAAAATGAACTTGCAGGTCAGCTGGCTCATTCCCTTCCCGGGGCAAGGAGCAACAGTTCAGCACTGCTTTACTCTAAAGACGAAAGGTTAGACCTGAAGCTGACCTTTCCACTCTGGTGCAAGCTCCCACGAGTGCAGTGCCTGTAAGGAGCCCCATTTAAACACCTCGGGGCTGCCCTCCACAATCAGCCACGCTCAAGCAGCTTCCTTGATGCTGGAAAAACATTTCATGCCGCACAAAATGCAGCCAGAGGAAGCAGAGCCATTCTAACAGAGATGGCTTAAATAGCAAAGGTCCTAGTCTGCTCTTAAAATACACAAAAAAATGTGAAACAAGTGTGCACGCATGCGTGTGTGGCACCTGCTGCTCATTAGGTCAGGAAGCATCGCCAGAGCTGACCAAAGTAGCCAGGTTCATGGTGACAAAGGTACTTCAGATCTTGAGGAATTACCCAGAAAGAAAAGAGAGAGCTTGAGCTGGCACTCTGCAAACTCAGGGCAAAGTCCAATAACGACTGTGTCCCTTAGCAAAGCTGCCCCAAAAGAAGGTAACTTTTTTTCCCCCTCTGTCTTGCATGGAGCTGACCTCTCTTTAAAGGACCATGTCTCAAGTGCATAAATCCTACATTGTTTCTTCTTTAAATTAGATGAAATGTCCTGTGTTGGCCAGAAGGTGTGAACTTGCAACCTTCCAGCTGGATCCCATCGCGCAGCTGAGATCTCACTCAGTGAAAAGCTCTTGCACATCTCCTGATGAACCCACATGCTTATGATGATACCTGTCTAAACTCTGGTTTTTTAATTTGATAATTTAAACGAACCTGTCTGTCAATGCCACTGTCAGCCAGTAGCACCTAACGTTTCTTTAATCCCTGTCACTAAGGTCTGGCTGCAAGAATGACGTTGACTTCATTCACTGAGCTCCTACAGGCAGTGACAAAAAGCGTCAGTAACATTTCTTGTGCCTGGGTCACTGAGTACTGATGGCACTGATTTGAAGCATCACCTCTGACACAATCCACATAGGAGGCAGAGCGTATATTTGCTCATAGGTCCTTTCTCCTGCAGAGGTTTCCATGTGAGCTGCTTCATCTGGTCCTGCCCCTCTGCTGCCCACATCTTTGTGACCTTCTGTCATGGTTTGATGTGGGCGAGGAGGTCCGGGTGGCAGGAGCTGCCCATCAGACCAGACTCCCATCCCCCTCGGGGCTTGAGCCAATCGGAGCCTCTGCGAATTGCCCTATTTACGTCGGGACAAAGGAACCGGAAAGGTGTGCCTGTGCCCAGGAGTGAGGAGAAGAGAGGAGGGGCACGGCCCCCGCTCCCCGTTGCCCGGCCG